ATGATCTTTGAATATTGATTTATGATTAAATATATACTTGATTTTGTATTTTTTGTAAAGAAATAAAATAATTTGTATATTTAGAAATGAAAACTGGACTGGATTACAAGTTTAATTGGCTGATTGACAACTATATAATATATTAATAAGTTATTTTTCAATTTAATCATCAATTAATAGCATGAACTTTAAAGAGTAAATTGTTATGAAAACTGTCTATTATTAATACACACGAGAGAAAACAATTATATTTATTTGGTAATTAGTCGTTAGCCCATTTTTTTTTACTTTAAGGCGTCGGCGATCAACTTAGTGGCGTAACACTTCTAAATGAAGTCTCAACCTAGACAATAGTTGCACGATGACCTGTTATTATTATATAGGTAGCTATTAATGTCGGGAACGTCTTTCTCTAACGCCAACCTCCAATTTGGTGGCATGACTGTGCTTGCACTTTGTAGCATCTGTCAATGTCATTTCGAATTTTGTAGATAAGAAATCTTCGACCGCATTCATAAGCACATTTTATGATTATTTGATTTTGGCTAAAAAAAACTACCATACTTTTCGCAAACATATAATATTATGTATACCTACTCTTTGCAAACGATCGACCCGCACTCGAAGAACTCTTGCGCAACATTTAATTAAAAAATATAATTACCATGTTACTCAATGTACGTTTCAAACAAGCACGCTGGACAAAACCAATATGTGTAAAAAAAATATTAATTTCGACACCGACGATCGAAAGACTGATGAGTAATGTACCAATAATGTCAGTAGCATGTTAAGATTGTGTTATGATACTATCGACTAATCGCATTAGGTATATAACCAATTAGAAGAACAAAATTCAAGTAATGATTGATTCTTGCATCATTTAAAACCGCAGTTAAACAGCCGCGGAACTATTTTTCATTGGTGTCCTTGAATTCTGCGCCAAATCACCTTATGCTATTCTGTTCACCGTTGAATATACACAATACGTCTTTCCATAAATCTATTCAATATACAATAGTGAAACTTACGATTATTTTACACGTTTACAATAAATACGTAATAGAGACAAGTTTTGTAGCCGCTCGTAAAATAATCATCGAGTCGTTCCGAAAAAAATGACAAAGCGTCGTATCTTTAATTATGAGTTCGTTAGAAGATGTAATACGGTATAATCGAATAATACGGAATGGACTTTCTCCTAGAGATTTATACAAAAATATTCAAATATAGAATAAAAATATCAAGACATACGAAAACAATATTTTAATAATTATATTTGATAATATTTATATAATTTATAGATAATACAGTTAATTATTAATTTCGATATTTTTATAAAATATTTTTTATTTAATAACTAAATCAAATGGGTAAATATGTGGATAATGAAATTTTAAAAATTATCCACTAATGCTACTATTTTCAAAAACGTTTCGAACTTGAAGATATTAAACTATTCGGCATCATTTGTTTGCTAAAAATAAATGTTTTTTAATATTGTTGTCTATACAAAACACGGTATGGTCACGGCAGCTGAACAGTCGAGACCAGTATCGCCCTGAAGATGGACTCTGCAATGAGTCCGAAACGTCGGCCTATAACTATTGACGTGGATATATCCGAAAATCATCCAAATGATGTATAAAACAACCTTACCTAAGCCTACGGGCTACGTTAAAATTAACCTTACTTTAAAGTATTATCATTGAGTATATATTGTACAATATATACTCAATGGTATTATTTATAAAATCCTAATAAACGTATATCATTTGTTAAGGTTACAAAACCAGAGTTATTTTTAATACTGTATCAAAATATTCTTGATACCTACACTATATCAAGTATTCTGTGTATAGGTGCCAGCGGGTGATTTTTACATAAGCTCACCAAATGTTTAGTATTAATAAAAAAAACATACATTTAATTGGGCTTATGCACACCCAAAAAAACTTGACAGGCGTTAACACAACCCTGATCTCGTATCTAATTCAGTGCTCACCCCAGAGTCAGCAACGGCTTTTTAGCTATTGATTTCGTTATCGTGTGTGATCATTTCATTCGTGTGCTGCCGCAGCGTCCAAGCGAAAGGTTAATTTTGCAATTTCACGGGCCACGGCGCCCGAGGCTAATGGCCACACAGATGCTTAGATAAATAAACATGGGTAGCAGTATTCGATTAGTTGATATTTCGTCAACAATAACCGGAGCGAATCGCTGCCGGCAAAACCGCGTTATTATAACACGTTTTAGGAACGTCCTCGACCAAAAAAAAAAATATATATATAAGTAGGACTAATAAAACATGTAATACGTTTTGAGCTTTTGACCCTGTGCGGTCAAAAACCAGATGTGAAGTGCGCTGTGCTCCCGAAAAAACGCCGAGTAATGTATTATCCCGTCGAAAAGGGGTCGCCGCCGCCCAAGGGGTTCTCTGCACTCAAACCCAACGACATTGAAAACAAAACTCACGACTTCACAATAGAAATAAATAAAAATCAAATACATATATTGTTTCAAGGATCTATCTGGAACACGCTTGACAACGTTCATGGGTCGGGAATGAAACCGACCTAAGTACACGGTACATACACAGGGAATAAAAACCATCCATACACCGTTTCCACTGCCTTGCACCGCCGACACTCACTAGTCAACCGTACAATCACCGTGTACCATAGTACTTTACCTATATAGTTTATTTAAGCCGTAGAATAACACGGGGAGTTCGAAATGAAAATTGTTTGGACAGTTTTAAATCGTGTAAACTAAGCTAAATGCGATCGACAACGGACAAGAATGCCTGTAGGATTATATAAATAACTGTGTAGGAAATGGACTTGGACATTGTATAACATATCGTGTAATTTTTAATGAGTTTTCGGAATGCATTCGGTTTTATTTTCCAAATTATGGAAATAAGTCAATTAAAGATTATAAGGCGTTTACCACGCCTCGTTTAAAATTCAAATAATAATGTATTCGATCATCTATATTACAGTGAAAGTGCAGTCCAGAACAGATAATTCATAAGTCATAACAACGGTCGGGTATTCGTAACAGAAATCCGATATGAGAATATTATCGCTCGCGGATATTATCAGTAAACTCGTCTTGTGTTCATAAGTTTAGTTTTTTTTACACGTCAATACCATATTAAAGTAACATTATCCCTTTCTCTTCGTTTATTGTTGTCTCAAACTTAAGTTTTTTTTTTTCACTAGTTTTGTAAAGCAAGTATAGTAATCATATTATGTGTTCTACTCTTGTCTAAATTATTACAAAAAAAAAAGTATCATATGAATATGTAAAACTTTTAGTTATAAAACGCGTTACGTAAAAATCGTTTAAACATTTCTAAACCGTTACAAATCCGAACTACACACGTTTTATTTAACACAGATCGCCTAAAATATGAGCGAAAACGCATCATAAACACAAAGAAAAAAATTAATACCTACGTGATTTTTTTGTTTAGAACCGAAATTAAAGCTTATGTTGTGTAACGTCTGACGAACATAACAAAGTTGGGTAAGTTACTTCATTTTAGTGACATGCAAGAAAAATTCTAGTTAAGTTACTCATTACTCACAGAATAAATATAACGACTTATTAAGTTACAAGTTACTTCTAAACATAATTTAATCAAGTTACTTTAAAATTATGTATGTAATGTTAGGTAGTTGAAATATAGTTATGATCGGTTAAAGAAAGTGTTTCTTATTGTTAGTAAAGTGACTTTAGTAATATTTTAAGTTACTAACTATTCGTAAAAACCACATAATTTTAAAAAGTCTCTGAATTTTATAACTAGTTGATGCACACCTTTGGACCATATAAGAGGAGTTTTCTAAATGATCTTAGGTTAGGAAATTAAATAAATAAAATAACTTATGATATTTTCTTCGGCATTTTTAATAGAACTATAGATTTTTTGTAGATAAATATTCCAATACAAACCACTACATAGTGTCGTTTACACATTCATTGCTTAATCAAATTTTATTTTTAAAGATTCCTTATTTTTTGTATTACAACTACAAATGTTTTACGATCATTGGGCAGAGATAATTCAACTCGAACAATCATCAAATTTAATGTTAAATAATGTCCAGTGCTTTCGAAAAGTAGATATTATTTCCATTAAAAAAAAACGTTTATACCTACAAAAGGTATGAATGTCCTAAAAAAACAACGTTTTAACGTTACTTACAACCATTAAAATAAATAACACGTATCAGGCATTTTGCACTAAGCGCCTATATAGATTTCTGTCGGTGTTTAATGGCACAACATCCTTAAAACGTGTTTACTCATAAAGTCTAAGTGCTATCGATAATTGTCTTAACAATTATTTTCTACTAAATACAATACTTTACTTATTGCTTTTAATGTATAAAAAAAAAACACAAAAATGTCAACTAATGATCATCCAGCACAAAACGAGTTCTACACAAATTTTAGAGAACAGTTTACTGTAACAGTTTACTTATTACACTTTAAAAACAAACAGAAAGTAGTTTTTTACGTCGCAGCTTGTCGAAAAATGTTATAATAATAATTTCCTAAAGAGTTTTTTTATTATAACCCGAAAATTAATCTATTGTAAAATACATTTATTCTATCTATTGACATTACTTAATTTATTTGCTTTTTTTGATTATTTGTTTTTAGTGTTTGTCTACATAATTTTACTCACAATTAGTTATGTTAATTTTTATATTGCAAACTATAAATAGCTCAGGCAGATACCAAAAGCTACCAAACAAGAGTATAATAAATAAATGTTTATTTATTATACTCTTAGGTTATTTGTGAATTTTTAATACTTGTACAATACGCAATTTTTATTAATATACTGAAATTTAATTTTTATCCTTTCGACAGTACATAAAATAGTCAACAAATCGACAGACTTATCGGCGAAAGAATTCGAACAACTGTTTGAAGCAATACAAAATAATTAATAAAAAAAAATCGTTCAACTGGTTGCCTACCTTTATCCGATGAGGCGCTGGTGTATGGAAGAAAACTTAAACGGTACACAACTCACACGTTTTTTTATTTAACTAACGTTCCGCGCGCGTCGTAACCACTACACCAGTTCAGAAATGAATGGACCACTTGGGATTCGCGATTGCGCTCATATAATATCAGTTTTGTGAAAGTACCAAGGTGAGTACGGCGACGTTTTAGTGGTGTGTTTTTTATCTCATCTTGCAGGGTCAGCAGCTGTTTGGTTGTCGGTGTTATATTTTTGGTACTAAGTATTGAACACTGTACAATACGTATGTATGTTATCCGCAGAGGTCCGACATAGCTATGCAGAGCACACCCGACACACCTTATGTCCTCTTCTGGTCATATAGTGTGTTGAGCTATGACTCAGTTTTTTTTTCAATGAAAACCGACGTTTGATACAATTCCATTTTTTAATTATTGCAACACTTCCAAGGAAAAAAACCGTTGGTACCTCGTTTGTAAAGTAAAACAACAGTCTGACATCCGATCGATTCGAAAATATTATATTTGATCATTTCGTAGATAGTCGAATGCAATAAAGAGTGTGTGGGCAAACGGATATCTAAGAAAATACATTTTTGGCTTCAACACGTTACAAAATGATCATTATTAAACACTGTATGGCAAAGGTTCACTTAAAAATTTACCTTTCATAAAAGTTGTCGTGAAACCTCGTTTAAAATAAAAACTTACAACTTACAAAATAATTACTATCGATTACAATTGGTATTATTTTAACCTTTGTTTTTACATGCCCGAATTTCGCCATATTTTATGAACAATATTCGCTATTTTATTTAATCGTTTGCATTCACTATTATAGTTTGAAATAAATTTTAAAAAATCACTACAGATTTTTATATCTTCTTTTTTTGAATTGTAATGTATTTGATTAACTTAAAAAGTGAATAAAATAAGATAATAAGATACTCAACATTTAAAGTGACCGATTGGGAAATTAAAAATATTGTAAAAAAATGATATATTTAGTATTAGGGTAGATACAATTAGGGCTGATTATTCGTTTGTACTAACATTTTGTTATTTTTACCCATACATCGTAATTAACAATAAAATTAAAACATTTTTCTTATACCCGTTGACTGTCAAATTATTCACACATAGCAACCTAAAAATGTATTTATATTAAAAAGAAAAAATTATATTTTAGCTAAAGTGTATTGTCTATTTTTTTTTTTATTTGCTAATACGATTAACATAACTATTTTAGTGTTATCGATATTACTATAAAAATTAAAGAACTATATATAATTAATATTTTCAAATTACTAAAAAATTTTAAATATCGAACTAATGAAATATATCATTATGTAACTCTTATTTTTTAAGATGTATCCAACCACTTACTCTACATCTAAAATCTACATTCTACAATGGTCGCATTTCACTATTGACGCTATTGAAGCTATATATTTTACTTGTTGAATGCCAACATTAACGCCGACCAAAATCCAATTTAAGAATTGAATAATTAAAGAATTGGAGAATAAGAATTAGCAGTCAAAACAACTATATTTCAGTTTGCCTACTACATTTTTTTTAACACTTAATACGGTTTACATTTTTCTTTTGAAAACTCTTCAAAAAGAAATTTTAAAACCTTCACAGCTCATACTGTGAAATTGCGTAATTTGTGTTAAAAAAATATTAAGATGATCGGCAATTTCTTAATACAGTGTGAGGTATTATTATTTAAGTTCTCCTTGTACAAACACATCTGTGGTTGCCAAACAATTATAATAGTATAATACTACACGTATTTCAAGAATCGCGTATAATAAATCATCATAGATATCTTTTCTATATTCGTTGAATAATTTCTCTAGAAATTAATAAGCTAGATATCAATTTTTAAAATGTATAGTATCAATATATATTATACCACTTAAAGTAATATACCTAGTCGACGCCAGAAGATATAATAACTATGAAATTGTAATATTCATGTTTTCCCATTGTAAGCCTTATTGACCCTCGCTAGTCACCTCTATAATTATACATTCACGCTCATCACATACAAAAAACTAGTATTACAACATTATGTACATGTACAAGGGGCTTACTCATAACTCGCATAACTTCTCTACTAATTTATTGACACTTAAGTCAGACGCTTTTACTGCATAACATTGTTCGCAAAGCTCGTCACAACATAATAGTATGCATTATTTTTAGTCAAATCTAATAGTAGTCTAATCTAATTTAATCTATGCCGTAATGGAAACGTTAACGTGCAGACAATATCTAACCAACACTTTTGTTTCGTTTTCAACATTTGTTTGACGGCAGGTAAACGAAAGTTGTAGGTATAAATTGTATAGATATCCACACCCAAGGCGTTCGTCCGCCCACATAACTGGTTTCGCCATAACGTAACAATAATTTTCAGTAACTCGAACTGAATCTAAACTATGCGTTTTTAATTCTACATAAGACCGTACACCGGTCTATGTCATTCGATCATACCCTAAAGCGCACAAAGGTTTCAATTGTTTCCCCTGTTTCAGAAACTAAACTGACATAAATAAATTAGATAAGTCATAAATCATTACAAGTATATCGCGTTCCATATTTTAAACAGAAACTTTTATTTATGTAAAATAAATTATAAAAAAAATATAGTGTTGGAAAAGAACGCGTTCCAAAAGAAACAAGTTTTGAAACTACTTCAATTTGAAATCAAAGAACGTCGACTAAAAGAAATTCCTATTTTCCAGAATCGCGAACACGAAAAAATTTCATTTCATATTAGTTCTTGTTGAAGTACATTTGTTTTTTATTACAGTCAAGGTAATACTTTTAACTTTCATAGTATTAATCTAGCTGACAATAATTTTAATTTATAAGTAAAAAATTACAACACCGATTGGGAAATCTGAAACTGATCTATAATTGATAAAAGGTTTTGTTAATCGTTACAAATTATATTGTTAATATGTTGTGTACAGCTCGTATGTGGTCTACACTGTACGCACATATTAAACATGTTCATATTACTATATAGCAATAGTATTTGTATTTTAAAATTTACTCTATTGTTGTTTTTTTTATATGAAATTTGATTGTCATTATTTTTGTTTTTTTAGCCTTGATACGTATACGTATATATGTCACATGAATACATAAATAAGACTTTAAAGAACATGTGCCCTCAATAAAAGGTTTAATTTTATATATTATGATAAATTTTTTAAAAAACGTGGAGACCATAACCTAGAAAAGCCTTTTCGTCTGTCGACAAAGAAAATATTATAAAACTGAAATATATTCAGCAATGATATATAGAATGTTGGGCACTAAACGAAATAGATGAAAAGTAAAACGGAAAACGTTGTATTGAGATAATGTTGAGAGTATATTTGGATATTAATATTACAAAAACAGATAGAAAAGATTTACAGGTAAATGTAGACCAAAAAATAAGCGATCATTATAGTGATTCTATAGTTCTCTTTATTTGTAAACAATAATTGTAGTATTATCAGTTTTGTTTATGTTATGTTACGTACACTATTCCTATTTTATGCATATAATCATGTATTCATAATTATATATATATTATGCAACCGTTATGTGACTATCTTTAATCTAAAATTTTAGATTCAAATGACTATTATTTTGATCTAGTTTAAATATGAAATAACACGTACAAAAATGCAAATTGGCACAAGTATAAAGATCCTGCCCTAATTTTGTTGAAGCTAGTGTTTGTATTTAAAATTATTTTGGTATATTTATATAATATTTAGCAGACGTTGAATAACAACCTGGTATTTGAAGGTATGCAAATTATTTGTTACACTTTTACCAAGGTGATTTCAATTATTAAACTATAAAAAGTTGACCTTAATATCATAATATAATAACAATTAATAATATAGGTACCTAATTTTATAGTATGTTAAAAATTACATAATACGCAATTATCAATGACTTCTGATTTTTATCATTTATCTTTAGTAGTTGTTATTTTATGTCATCGTTTGTAGTTAATACTAGATTCATTTATTAGAGCTCAAATTCAAACTAATTATCAGCTCTATTGATTTTTAATTTTTAACTAAACCCTGATGTATACATAGGTACCGATAATAGTAGTTTTTTTTTGTTGAGAATATCTTTATTTATATCAAACATGTATTATTACTCTATTTAGGAGTCAATTTCTTTACGATAAACTGGTATTATTGAAAATATGTAGGATGACAAGATCGAACGATATAACCTAAGGTGTTCTGTTACCGACGTTGTATAACTAACAGTACAGATCGTCGTATCATTGTAAGTCCATTAATGGATATAGAAATAACAATGTGCTATTATACAAGACAAGCCGAAGTGCTATCTCATAGACAATCACGATTGTTCAGAACCAAATGTGATAGATATATAATAATAAGGCCTTATGTGTTGTTTACAATGTTAGTTTTGGGAAGAAATCAATCAATACAAATAATAAAATATTTAAATTTTAGTCTACTAAACTATTCTAGGTGTATACTATTATTGTGAATTTGTTCTAAAATAAAATTACATACACTTTTTTTGTTATTTACTTGATTATAGATTGGTCTGCTATTACCTACATTATTGAAAAAAAAGTAAAATCATAGGGGGAAACGTTTATTATTCATAACAGTCAAAACTACTTATGTACAATTGTTTAGTCATTTAATAGTATTACTACTAGTTAGTATATTTAGTTATTTTACATAATAGTAATATTTAGTATTTAAGTTATCATTTTACTGTTATTATAGACCGATAATTAATAATGTTCGCTTCCGCATGAAGCGAATTGTAAGAAGACATAATATAAAGATAAAATTGTTTAAGATATTCTATAAGTAAAACTTAAATAAACGATAATTGGACGAATTCTGAGTAAAGGAGCCAAAGCTGTATTTTGGCTAACTTAGGATTATACAACATGTTTAATAATTGTACGCCTAATCTAAATGTGCATAGTCTTCGTACGTAAGGTACTAAGGTCCATACTCCATATGATGCTTACAAATACTTCCGGGTGACAGTTTGAGAAATTATATAAAGAAAGTTCAAAATTACAAGAAATTATAATTGTCGGATGCAAAAAAA